GATGAAGCTCCATGGTTTTTCCCATAATTATATTCCCACAACAGCATGCAGTAGTTCCCTTTCCTCCACACCCTTGCCAGTCCTACATTATCTCTTATCTTTTTGTTTATAGCCATCCTAACAGATAACTCACTGTGGTTTTGCTGTGCATTTCCGCGGTGATTTGTGTTGTTGAGAACCTTTTCATACACCTGTTGGCCATTTTTGTCTCCTTGTAAAAAATGCCTGTTCAGATCCTTTGTCCATTTTCCACTTTTTAACTAGATTGCTTTTTGTTGTTGTTGTTTTTGTTTTGTTTTGTTTGCTATTGAGTTGTGGAGGCTCTTCATATGTTGGGGATGTTAACTCCTTATCAGATACATGGCTTGCAATATTTTCTCTCAATCTCTTGACTGTCTTTCCATTTTGGTACTTGCTTCCTATTTGTGTAGAAACTTTTTAGTTTGGTATAGTCCCACTTTATTGTTACCCTTTATAAAATAAAGTCCCAGTTTATGTGTGCCCTGAGCATTTGGTGAGCTATGCCAAATACCATTGCTCAGACCAAGGTCCAGAAGATTTTAACCTACGTTTTTTTCTAGGATTTTTAGTTTCACATCTTACATTTAAGTCTTCAATTCATTTCGAGTTAATATTGTGTGTGTGTGTGTGTGATATAAGGTAAACATTCAATTTTATTCATTTTCATGTAAATATCCAATTTTCCCAATATTTATTGAAGAGACTATATTTTCTCCATTCGTTATTCTTATTAAAGTTGACTTTATTGCTTGAGTTTATTTCTAGGTGCTCTGTTGTTTTCCAATTATCTATATATCTGTTTTTATAAAAGCATAATGTTTTGATCCCTATCACTTTGTAACATAATTTGAAATTAGCAAGTGTGATGTCTCCAACTTTGTTCTTCCTCAAAGATAGCTTTGGCTGTTCAAGGTCTATTATAATTATGTAAAAGTTTCAGGTTTTTTTCCCTTTTTTCGGAAAATGCCAATGGAATTTTGATGGAGATTTTGTTGAATCTGTATATAGCTTCAGTTAGAATGGACATTTAACAATATTAATTCTTCCAATCAATAGAGGATTCCTTTTCATTGATTTGTATCTTCTTCAATTTCTTTAATCAGTGTTGAATAGTTTTCAGTATATAATAAATTGATTAAATTTATTTCTAAGTATTTTGTTCTTTTGATGTTATCATAAATGAGACTATTTTCTTGATTTCCTTTTGGGAGGGATATGTTAGTTTTATTTAATCCACAGTGTATACATATATCAAATCATCACACTGCACCCCGCAATACACAAAATTATTCATTAATTAAAACTTTGTACACTAACTATATTTGTAATAAAAAATAAATACAATTAATAAAATAACCATTTGGAAGAATTTTCCACTGGAGACTGAGGGAAAGTGACACGACTGGCTTTTGTATAGTGATACTGTATTTGCAACTTTATTAACAGTTTTTATTGAAGCCTTTAGAGTTTTCTATATAGAGGACCCTGTCATCTACAAACAAGGATAACTTTCTTTCTTTCTTTCTGACTTGGGTGCTTTTTATTTCTTCTGGTCTGACTCCTCCTGCTAGTACTTCTAGCACCATGTTGAATAGAAGTGGTGGGAGTGGGCATCCTTGCCTTGTACCAGTTCTTACATGAAAAGCTTTCAGGTTTTTTTCTCATTGATATTTTAGTGATGGGCTTTTCACAAATAGCTTTCATTGTATTGAGGAAATTTCCTTCCATATCTACTTGAAAGTTTAATTTAAAAAGATCTTGAATTTTGTCACTTTTTCCCTCATTTATTGATATGATTATTTAATTTTTGTCCTTCAATCTGTTATTGTGGTGTATCTAATAGATGAATTTAATAATGTTAAACTAAGCTTACATCCCAGGGATAAATTCCACTTCGTCATGGTGTATAATGTCTTATATGTGTTGTTGAATTCAATTTACCAGTATTTTATTGAGGATTTTTGATTTTATGATCTCCAGAGATGTTGGTCTATAGGTTTTTGTTTCTTCTTGTATCTTTGTCTGGCTTTGGTATCAAGGTGATTTTGACTTCTTAGACTGAGTTTGGAAGTATCCCCTCTACTTCTATTTATTTACCATTTACTAAGTATTATACTATGCAGAGTACAAAGTTTCATATGCTATGTCTATTCTAAATTATTTAAAAATATTAACTGACTTAATCTTCATAATAACCCAGTGAGTAAGATTCCACCAATATCTACATTTTACATGTGAAGAAACTGAGGGAAAGAAAGGACAAATAATTTGCCCAGTATCACATAGCTAATATAAGATGGATGTGGGGTTTCAGTGCAGGCAATCTGGCTCAAGACTTTATGTTCTCAATATAAATATTCTGATATTGGTCAAAGATATGAAAAAGATGCTAATTCTGGCAAATTATTCTATTTTGGTTACCTGTACCAGGCCAGAAAAGCTTTTAAGTTGAGAGGAGACATTAACACAAGCATAGCAGTATATCAGATCACACAGAGAGTCCACCAAAAAAGAACTGAAACTTGGCTAGTTTTTAAAGGAATTGAGATACCGTGACTGAACCTCACATTAGACTCTAGTTCCTTGAAGTATGAAACTTCTGTTATCTGTAAGCAGATTAACAATCTTGAATAGTTTTTTCCCCACTTGGTTGAAGTGCCACTGTAGATAGTCATTTAAGTCAAAATAATTAAGGTGAACTCATCCCAGGAAAGACAGGGTCACTGCAAACATTGTCTCAGTGATAGGTTATCCTGAGTGATTATAGTATCAGTATCCATTATGATTCCAGAGTAGTTTTACCTTCTGTTTTAGTCCGTTCATGCACTGCTGTAAAGAAATACCCAAGACTGGGTAATTTATAAAGGAAAGCACTTTAATTGACTCACAGTTCCACATGGCTTGGGAGGCCTCAGGAAACTTACAATCATGGAGGAAGGTGAAGAGGGAGCAAGGATCTTCTTCACATGGTGGCAGGAGAGAAAATATGTGTAGAAGGAATTGCCAGACACTTACAAGACCATCAGATCTCAAGAGAACTCAGTATCATGAGTACAGCATTAGGGACATGGCCTTCATGATCCAGTCATCTCCCACAGGGTCTCTCCCACGTAGGTATTATGGGGACTACAATCCAAGATAAGATTTGGGTATGAATAAAAGCCTAACGATATCACTTTCATAACATCCAGAAGAAAATATGGGTAGGACACTCAGTTGAGGAAGCTCCTGGCATAGATATAGTTGTGTCCATAAAAGAGATTTTACTCAACCTGATGAGAAGAAGAGCCTTGAAATTCATCAAGAAATCACCTCCCTTTTGAACTGCAGTTTTCAAAGTACTGAAATGCTGTAAAGCACTGGCCAACTTAAATCTGTTTCTGGTGATTGTCCTGAGATCTCTAGAATTTCTTCAAGCCCAAATTTCTCCTAACTTTGCCACAAGAAAGAAAAGGAGGGATTCTTACCAACTCCCAGGTTGGGTGGTCTCTTTTTACATACTACCTTACCCCAGTTGCAATGAAGGATCCAATTTTACATTGATTATGACTGGAAGGAAAAAAAGCACAGGGATTAGAAACTGTAACTTCACTTGGGTAAGGGTGAGAGAGACACAGTAGGGGAGCATGCTCTTGTACATGAGTGCTAAGTTGGGTTTTTAGGCTTTCTAAAGCTCATCAAGATAGCCTGCTTGCAGATAAGATGATGTGTGCTCACTTAGGTTGCACTTGAAGATGAATAGTTAGGAGACTTTCTCCATGTGGCAATATCCTGGATACCTTCATTTCGTGTTTTAATTTACATATATGATGAAAATTAGTTGATAACTTCCCTTTTGTGGCCAAAAAAGGGGTTTCATGTATGTTTTAAATGCCTCTTAACACTTCACTCACTCTTTTGCAATCTGATTTCTATGACCATGTCTCTACTGCTTCCCTCAAGGATGGGTGCTGCTCATCACCAACACTTCTCCCTAAAGCACATTCTTCTCTTGCCTTCTATGGCTGTTCTCCTTTTCCTATTCCTGGCATTCTAAGTCCTTTGGAAATGCTGCTTCTTCTAGCCCCATCCTTTAAAGTTAGTGCTCCTTGGGACTCTGTTTAGACTGTTTTTTTCACTCTATACTTTTCTTTTAGATGACTTCATTCATGTCCATGGCTTCAGTTATGTCTTTATCCAGTTCTCTCTTTCTCTCTTGAGTTACATTTATACTTTCTGTATGCACCTAGCAGTAATTCTAAGGCTGGACACATCACCCAACCAAAACAATGTCTATTTCTGTGTTGCCTATATCAGGGATTGGCATATCCATCCATCAAATTACCCAGCTATCTAAATAAAAATCTTCTTACATCCCACAGATCAATCAACAAGCCTGTCAATTCCCTCAATGTTTCTTGATTACTGTCCACTTTCATTTTGAACTTCTACCTTAATTCAGATCACTAATATATTTTATGGAACATCCTTCAGTAAATGTGTTACATAATAGCCAGAATGATCTTCTAAATATTATCTGGTTGTTCTGTTCTCCTACCTAAAATCCTCTATGTCTACACCTTACCCTTAACAAGTTCAATGATTCTTAGCCTGATTTACAGAATCCTTCCTTGCTCACTCCCTGTTCCTCTCCTCAGCTTCATTCGTGCCAATCCCTAACTTGGGCTGGAGACTGCAGCCATATGGAACCCATTTTGGCTTCTCCAGTGAATCTCTTTCCTTTCTACGTCTTTTCATACAATGTTAATTCTGCTTAGAATTCCCTCTGCTTTGGTTTGATTAACGACTAATTTTTCTGATGTTTCCTAGGTTTTTTTCCAATTTTCTCAGTCTGATTTTTCCACAGGCTTCTTGCCCTTCCCTGATTATAAGAATGTATCACAATTTCCTACTTGCTTGTTTGTATCTCCACTAAATTGAAAGCAACCGAAGTTGATCTTATTCATATCTGGGTAAGAGAAGGAGCCATTTACGAATAGAAAGAATAAAGAGGACAAGATAAAGAAAGGTAATTCATCTAACACATTTCTATACTCTATTTTGCTTCCAGTGCATTTTTTATGCTTCTACTTTTGTAATAACTTTTTACAGAAAACTGAAAACTGCACAGTTTTTATTGAACAAAATCATCAAGTTGAGCCTCAAAGCCTAAAAAAAAAAAAAAATAAGAAATAACTGTTTGGAATAGGAATTGTGACTTTCAGAAGGAACAGTAAGAAATGTTGAGATTTTACTTGATGGTCTGAATCAAATTTGATATCAATCATATTTTCCCATAGATCACATACAACTTTTGACAGTGTTGGGGCCTTAAAAACACCAAGGAGATGCCTATATGTGTCCTTTAAATATAAACTTGAGACTGGAAAATCAGTAGGCAGATGTGTGGTTAGAGCCTATAGAACACTGCTGTTTCTCTTAATTAGAAAATTCAAGAGAGTTCTTATTTGGGATAACTTTATTTTTCTAATTTTGATATTTTTAGAAAGTATAAATATAAGAATCCCTTTTATGTTTCAGCTTGGTATCACTCATATTACCAAGTCTTAAATGCCCAAGTTTGAAAAAAAAGTTTTAATTATATTTTCTGTATTTAAGATACATAACATGATGATATGAGATATATAGAAAGAGCAAAATGGTTATGAGAGTGAAGCAATTTAACGTATCCATCATCTTACATAGTTACTCTGTTTTGAATGTGTGTGGCAAGAGCAGCTGACATCTACTCATTTAGTACAATGTCCGAATACAATATATTAACTCTAGTCCTCATGTGCATTAGGTTGCTAGACAGTATTCACCCTAATATCTCTTACTCTGTATCATCTAACTTTACATCTCCCCACTGCCCACCCCTGCTTTCTCCCACCCCTGGTAACTACATGGAGAAAATATTTTTGCACATATCCTTTGAGACTATTTACATGTATTATTTCCTGTTTGGTTTTATTATGTCTTAACATGCTCATATAAGCTGTTTATCTCCTCCATTAAGTTTCTTCTGTGTTTTTCTTATCGCAGTAACTAGAAAATTACTTCCTTGAAGGCTTCCTTATTTATACATCTCTTTTCTCCTACAACAAATAGGATAGTTCCAGACACATAGCAGATATTCAATAAACATGCTTTGATCAAGCGAATACATTTGGAATCTTTTAATGTTTCCGGTGTTAATCACCATCTGTGGTTCCATTAAATCGTTATATAATAATATGAAAAGCAAGCATCCTCCTCTGATGATGCTTTCCTTTAGGCCTGTGCCCCATTAAAATTCACCCAGACTTGTGGGTCAGCTTAGGTGGGGCAACCCTGTACACACACAGGCTCGCACTCTCTTATGTGATTGCTCCCACACTCTCTCTCGCTCTATCTCATGCACTCCGTCTTTCTCTCTCATACACACTTATTGGGCTGAAGGAGAAGGGTAAAACTAATGTTATTTTCTTTAGTTATAAAATATTGCGCCTATTGCTCCTTCTACATCTGATGCTATTCCTGCTTTCTCTCTACCCACAAGCCTTTCTTCAGGCATCATGTATGTAGGTTTTAAATACTTATTTATCTTTTCAACATTTTTTGTGACTTCTATATTATCTGCCTCCAATGATCCTTGTAGGAAATATAAATTGTACTAATTTGTAAAAAAAACTCCATGTTAAAGCAAAATAAAATATTTGGGGGAACACAAAGGAGGTATAGCTTGTACTTGGGTGAAAGAAGTGGGGAAGGGGAGAAAGAAGGTTCTTCCCTTCAGAAATAACTGGCAGAAATCTGAAAGATGAACAGGCATTCTGCTTTTTGTTTTATTTTTTGAGACAGAGTAGAGGGCAGTGGTGTGATCTTGGCTCACTGCAACCTGTGCCTTCCAGGTTCAAGGGATCCTCCTACCTACCTCAGTCTCCCAAGTAGCTGAAGTTACAAGCCTGCACCACCTCCCCTGGCTAATTTTTGTATTTTTGTAGAGATGGGGTTTCACCCTGTTGGCCAAGCTGGTCTTGAGCTCCTGGGCTAAGGCAGTACTCTCCTCTTGGCCTCTCAAAGTGGTGGGATTACAGGGGTGAGCCACCATGGCTGGCCAGAGTTCTGGTTTTCTACTGTATATTAAAGTATCCTCAATTTAGTGCATAAAACCACAATGACCATTTATCATTAATCATGGTTCTGGTAAGGACTGGCCTCAGGTAGGTATTCCAGTTGGGAGTTTCTGTTTATGGACTGAATGTTTGTGTGTCCATTCCTCACCTCCAAATTCAGAATTAAAACCCTCACCCCCACATCTAATGTATTTGGAGATGGGGCCTCTCAGAGGTGATTAGGGTTAGATGAGATTTTAAGGGTGAGACCCTGGTCCAATGGAATTGGTACTCTTTTTTAAGAAGAGGCACCTGGGCTAGCTCTCTCCCTCTATCCTGTGAGGACACAGAAAAGGCAGTTATTTGCAAGACAGGAAGTGAGCCCTTGCCAGAGCCCAACCATGCTGGCCCCCTGATTTTAGACTCTCAACCTCCAGAACTCTGATAAAATAAATGTGTCTTTCAGGCCACCTGTCTATAATATTTTGCTATGGAAGCTGTGCTGACTAGCACAGGTGTCTGTTGTTACAGTGGGATGGTGATTGTGGCTGGAGTCACCCCAAAAGCTTCCTCACATGTTGAAGTGGGCTGAGAAGACTCATAGAGCTGGAGATTGGACATGTTGGGGTTCTGTAGGCGTTTACTTGTATATCGTCTGTCTAGCATGGTGGTTTCAAGGTAGCTAGGCTGATTACATGATGGCCAGTGCTCCAAAGGGACATGTCTGAATAGAAAGACAAAGCCAGGCAGAAGCTGCATCACCTTTTGTCACCCATCCTAGGCAGTCATGCAACATCACTTCTGCTGCATACTAATGGTTAGAAGTATCTGCCTGAATATATGTGTTCTAGTCAGAGAGAGGAGGAAAAAGGAGGCTATCTGATAAGAAGCAGCATGGTAGGAGAGTAATCATAGAACATTTGAGTTATGTCAAACTTGCTCTCACAGTGTCATTCAAGCCACCAGATGCAATGAAGTGCTTTTTAAACCCTCATCTCACTTTAATACTATTAATACTAGCTCTTACCCTAAACCACAGGAGGAGTCCATCCTTTGGCTCCCACTACATCACTCCTTTCCTGGGTCTTCTCCGTCTCCTCTCAGTCTCCATTGAGAGCTCATCCCCCTGTAATATACCATAGCCAGTTACTCACCAAATCCTGACTTTTCTATCTCCTTCATATTGGTCAAACCTATCCACTCCTCTCTATCTCCAATATCAACTCTCTTAGTCAATGCCAGTGTCACTATTCCTTTCATTCAATGCATATTTCCTGAGTACCTACTATGAGCCTATCACTGTTATAGGAGCTGGGGCTTATGTCAATATACAAATAGATTAAAAGGTCTGTTCTCCATTCCTCCTACCTCTCTTTCTGCATACACAAGCACATATACACAATTCTTAATTGCATGCAAAGTTCTATCTATCTATCATCTATCTATCTACCGATTGATTGATTGATCGATCGCACCTTGTTGGGAGATAGGCACAAGGAGAAAAAACAGAAAAGGGTGGACTTGAGGTAGAATGCAAATTTAATACTTATGAGGTATGGCCTTCTGGGAAGGTTATTTTTAAGCAAAAAGTTGAATGGGATTAAGAAAGTCATAAGTACATAAAGGAATGTAGATCTTCCCTTGGGCAGGGGGAGAAGCTAACAAAGTCCACGCAGTGGGAGTGTGCCTGGCATACGCAAGGCTGGACAAATTGATCAGGGAATCTAGAACTGAGTGATGGACAGGGAAAGGAATAGAAGGTAAGATCATAAATAAAGGTGGAAGGTGGACCAACTACCGGTGATGTTGAAGGATGTTTTGGGAACTTTGGCTTATATTCTGAGTTAGGCTTTCAGGCAGAGGAGTGACATGGAACAACATTTTAACAGGAACGCTCACTGCTGAGTTGAAAGTAGGCAGGGGTGTGGGGGTGAAGAGGGTGGCAAGATAGAAACATCCTTTCCACTTACGAATGATAATGGTGGTTATGACCACTTGCTTAGAATTGCAATAGCAGAGGGATTTTTGTTTTAGTTTAAAGATAGAAAACATTTTAGCACACTCATTTGCTTAGGTGGAAGAATTAACCTTAGATAAGAAAGGATAATACTTTCTGCACTGACACAAAAATGAAGAGATTTAGATGGCTATCCATGAAAATAAGCCATCTAAATGGCTTGGTGGATGAGAAATTGCTGACAGGATAGCCTGTTTGCACTGTGAGTTAGAGGGTGAAAGTTGTGGGCTTCCTGGGAATGTTGTGACAGGATGATCGCTGTCCTTCAGTCTCCAACCAGTGATGTTAAGGGGGATGAGCAGAATATGCCAACGTTCTCTCTCATCAGAAGCCCCATTCTATATTGATTTAGACCCTGCTATACTTACCAACGTTCCTAAAGCATTTCTCTAACTTGAGCTTGAAAGTAGTATTGAAATAGAGAAGGTTATTAATATATAACCACATATATTCAAGACCTAGCCTCTTTTCTATTGCTCAGTCCATGTAAATGATTCCTCCGCCATTCATTCTGGAGTTGCTCAAGTGAAAAGCTGTTTAATAGCATATTAGCCCTTGCATTTTACATGATCCATTCTTGCCACTTTCAACTTTGGAGTTTTCAATTAAAAGCACAGTTTGTTGTATACAGTGTCCTAATTTTTATTTTTTATTTTTTTGAGGCAGAGTCTTGCTCTGTCACCAGACTAGAGTTCAGTGGAGTGATCTCAGCTCACTGCAGCCTATGCCTCTGGGGTTCAAGCAATTCTCCTGCCTCAGTTTCCTGAGTAGCTGGGACTACAGGCAGGTGCCACCATGCCCAGCTAATTTTATGTATTTTTAGTGGAGACGGGGTTTCACTATGTTGACCACGATGGTCTCGATCTCTGGACCTCGTGATCCGCCTGCATTAACCTCTCAAGTGCTGGGATTACA